TTGTTTTCTTCTATATCTTTGCACTGTTCATTTAAGAAGGCATTCTTATCTCTTCTAGCTATTCTCTGGAATTCTGCATTCAATTGGGTGTATCTTTCTCCCTTGCCTTTTGCATCCCTTCTTTCCTCAGTTATTTGTAAAGCTTCCTCAGACAGCCATTTTGCTTTCTTGCATTTCTTTTCCTTTGGGATGGTTTTAGTTGCTGCCTCTTGTACAATGTTGCGAACCTCCGTCCATAGTTCTTCAGGCACTCTGTCTATCAGATCTAATTCCTTAAATCTATTTTTCACCTCTCCTGTATATTCATCAGGGATATGATTTAGGTCATACTTGAGTGGCCTGGTGCTTTTCCCTACTTTCTTCAACTTAAGCCTAGATTTTGCAACCAGAAGCTCACGATCTGAGCCATAGTCAGTCCTGGTCTAGTTTTTACTGACTGTATAGCGCTTCTCCATGTTTGGCTGCAGAGCACATAGTCAGTCTGATTTCTGTGTTGACCGTCTGGTGATGTCCATGTGTAGAGTTGTCTCTTGGGTTGTTGGAAAAGAGTGTTTGCTACGACCATCGTATTCTCTTGACAAAATTCTACCAGCCTGTGCCCTGCTTCATGTTGTACACCAAGACCAACCCTGCCTGTTATTCCAGTTATCTTTTGGCTTCCTACTTTAGCATTCCAGTCCCCCATGATGATAAGGACATCCCTTTTTGGTGTTAATTCTAGAAGGTGTTGTAGGACTTCATAGAACCAGTCAACTTCAGCCTCTTCAGCACCAGTGGTTGGGGTATAGACTACTGTGATGTTGAATGGTTTGCCTTGGATTCGAACTGAGATCGTTCTGTCATTTTGGAGATTGTATCCCAGCACTGCTTTTCCTACTCTTTTATTGACGATGAAGGCTCCTCCATTTCTTCTGAGGGATTCTTGCCCACAGTAGTATATCTGATGGTCATCTGGATTAATTGCACCCATTCCTGTCCATTTCAGTTCACTGATTCCTAAGAGGTCGATGTTCAGTCTTGTCATCTCTTGTCTGACCACGTCCAGCTTGCCTTGATTCGTGGATCCTACATTCCGGGTTCCTCTGGAGTACAGATCTTCGCAGCATCGGACTCTCCTTTCGCCCCCAGATACACCTGCAACGGAGCGTCCCTTCGGCTTGGACCAGTCGCTTCACTCGTTCCGGCGCTGCTAGTACTGGCCCTGCGCTCGTCCCCAGCAAGGCTCCGCCCACCACGGCCCCCCGAGGCAGGACTCGGCGCAGCGGGCGCCCCCGACGGAGCGCTGACGGGCGGGCGGGCCCCCTCCTCGGCTCCGCCAGCGTCCGCAGCGCGCGGGCAGGGCGCGCTTGCTACCCTTTCCTATCTCTAAGGGCAGGGCGCGCTGTGCGTCACTTCCGGGAAGCGGCCGCGGCGCGAGCCGGAAGTCGCTGGCTGGCGGAGCGGCCGCGGCTTGGTCCCGGGTCGGACGCGAAGGGCGCCCGCCGCCGTTGCCATGGTGTTCTACTTCACGTCCAGCGGTGAGCGGGCAGGCCGCGCCCCCCGGCGGCGGGCAGCCCCTGCCCCGAGGAGCACGCCGGGCGCGGGCGGGCGGCCGGGCCGGCGGCTGCTGGTGCGCCGGGCGGGGAGAGGGCCGCCCGTGGGAGGCGTCTCCGGCGAATGCGCGTCAGCGGCTCCCCTGCGGGCGAGGAGGGGGCGAAGGAGGGCAGGCCCGGGCTGGGAAAGCTGCGCCGGGCCCCGCGGGGGCCTCGCCGGGGCGTTGAGGGGGAGCCGCCCGCCCTGCGGCGAGGCCGAAAGGACCGGCTGGCGGCGCTGCTCGAAGGCCCCGCGCGGCTCCTCTCGGCTCGTCGCGTGCTCGGTCGGGGCTGCTCTGCGCTCTTGCAAGCCAGAAGCCACAGTGGAAATCGGACAAGGCTCCAGCCCGCTTCTCCTCCTGGCCCGGTTCGGCAGGAAGACCTGTGCCAAATGGCCCGGCCCTCACTCCTGCCCGCGTGGTTCTGACAGTTTGTTCTGTTGTTTGCTGTTCGTTCGTTTCCACCACGTCCATTTGGTCCTGTATGCACACACATGGTGTATGTGGTTGGTTGCCAGGAAGCGCTTCCTGACAGTCGGGACCCCGAGGGTGTGCAGTGGGCTTCCCCGGGAGGCGGTTGAGGCCCCATCGGTGCGGGTGTTCAAGGACAGGCTGGACGTGCACATGGTGGGCATGTCGTGAGTGGAGCCAGCTGGAGCTGGGAGCCAGACAAGATGGTCTGGGAGGTCCCTTCTGACTCGCTCTGATTCTATGCTTCTGTGCTTTTGAAGCAGTTTAGCAAGCCCCCAACCAAATCAAACTTGTGCTTCTGCCCCCGAGGAAGAGTGAAATAGAGGAGGAATTGTTTGGCTCTTACTTTGTGGAATAGCATGGGCACCTGTGCAGGGCTTGATAGGAAGTCCTGACTCTCTCTCCCTCTCTCTCCCTCTCTCTCCCTCTCTCACAGTTGCCCCAGCTGCTTACACAATTTATATGGGAAAAGATAAATATGAAAGTAAGTATAGTGCTCTGTGTTTGGTGAGCTGGAGCCAGTTCTATATGCTTTCGCAATTAATCCTGTTTGGGTTTTTTTTTTTAATTGAATTTTGTATAAGTTATGCATCTTCTCTAAAACGCATTGGCTTTTGCTAACAGAGAAGCTTGAAAGGTCCAGCTGGACAGCGTTCCAAACTTTACTCTGGGATCCAGAGCATTGTGGTATATCCATCAGCTAATGAAACTAGAGAGCTGAGACCAAAAAAATCCCTTAAATGAAACAGTTGTAGAAATGGATGCACCTCATTTCCTTCCTGGGCAGGTGCTTCAAGATGTGTGCCTGGTGTTCACACACGGGTAGCTCTGTACGCAGTAGGAGGAATTGGCTGCCCCAGGGAGGTGCTGCTGTCACTCCAACTGGCCATTCTAAGATGAAATGCCAGCAAATGGATGGCTTATAGGAAGGTACAAGGGTTGTGAAAGAGCTGATGAGGGAAGGCTTCCGGATGTATATGGCATATTTTATGCTGGTTTTTGTCTCTTACGGTTTTAAGTTTTTAAGCTAACTGCTCAGAGAGCTTTGGTTATTTGTACAGTAGAGAAATGTGAATGATCAGTAAAGGGACTCTGAGCTGGGAGGTGGACTTCTCTCCATTTGCTGTTCACTTTGCTGCTTCTTGTAGATGAAGACCTGATCAAATATGGTTGGCCAGAAGATGTCTGGTAAGTACCGGTGGAATCCTCTGCCTATGCAGTGATGGCCCTTTTGCTGTGAAACAAACCCCAGTCCTTAGGAGCACCGTTGTGCGTTTTCGGGGGGGGGGGGACACCTTTTGTGCAAACACTCTAGCGCACCAGGGGCCAGGACCTTGATTTTCCAGTTTCCCACAGTAGGGAAGTTTCAAATGGTTATTAAACAAACGGGGGATAGCCAGCCGTTTGCTGTCGCCTTGTTCTGTTGCAGTCACTTGTGCTTAAAGCGCCCAGTCAGAACAGTGCTCCAACCCCCAGCTGGAGTTTGGCTGCCTTGCCGCGTTACGTACACTGTTGGGATCTCTTTCTCCTTCACCTGAGCTGGTTTGATATTCTTCCGGCATTTGCTCAAGGGCTTGACTCTGAGCCATTAGAATCCTGGCAGACAAGTGTACTTTGCACGGGCACGGTAAAAGGCAGCCGGACACAGCCAGCAACAGAGCTCCCACACACTTCCAGAGGATGTTGCCCTTCCTGGCAACAACAGTCCCACCAGGTGCTTCCGACTGACTCCGTGAGCAGCCCCACTTAGACCTGCTTTATCATGCTTGTTTTTAAGCCACGTAAAGCATTTATACTCTGCATCTTTAGCCAGGAGGCAGGAAGCAATACAAAATCTTAGGGAAATGGCAATTGAAACGGACAGGAGCAGATGGCAGAGTCAAGGAGCAGAAATAGTGGGCAGCATAACTGTTGCTCATGGGCGAGCCTAGCAGTGCTGCAGCAGCCGGTGCTGCTTTGGTGCGATCAGAATTGAGCCTCCGCTTGTTGGCATTGATTTATTTCCTGATCCGAGACATCCGTTTCAGAGAAACGGTTTCAGTCTTTCGGCTTTTGTTCTGGCAAAACGGGCTGCACAAGGACTGGGCTAAGAGCCGAGCCTGCATGTGCTCTGGTTCCTTCCTGCAGAGCCCCAGGACGCTTCTCAGTACCAGAACTGCAGAGGGCCCAGCGGCTCTTTAAAGACCAGCTGTACTGATTCTGGCATAAGCGTCTGTGAATGCAGTCAGTTCTAGATGCTGCCGCTTTCTGGCCTGCGGTGAGTGACCGATGGACTGGTCAGAATAGTGAGGTGCAGGTGTGGGATGACTGTACTCATGGAGGCTACGTGAAGCCTTCAGTTTCAGAGGCAAGAGGCAGCGGACGCCTTGAGTGCTGCTGAAGGGAGCTTGCAGTGGTGGAAGGCTGCTTCCTTCATGGCCTGCGTGGAAATTTTCCGTGCCATCTGGGTGAGCTGCTGTTGGTGAAAAGCACTGGAGGGGATGGACCCAGGGAGCAGGGCTGTTGTGTGTGTGCGTGTGTGCAAAGACTTCTTTACAGAAGGTAATCCGAGGAAGTGTTTATCTCTGGTAAGTCAAGGGCCCCAACATTATGATACTGAAAATCTAAACACATTGGCTCTCCCGCACTGGAGACACTCAGGGTGAAACTGGACAGCCACCTGAGTGGGGTGCTATAAATTGTTGTCCTGCGACGGCAGGGGGTTGGGCCCAGGGGCCTTTCCAGCCCCTTCTGACTCGGCTCCTTTGTGCTTCTGTGATAAACATCTGTTGGGCATCATGGAGATTCGGCCCTTTTCCTTGGTGGTGGTAGCAGAGTGGCTGCCGGAGGAGCTCATGGCGTAACTTTGAAGAACACAGGAGCACAGCAGCCGCATATGCAGGATCAGACCCGAGGCTCATCCAGTCCAGCAGTCTGGGCACAGTGGCCAGCCCGCTGCCCTGCTCGCCTTGCTCGAGCGTTGTTGTCTCGGGGTCATGAGAGGGTGTGCTGGGCTTGCGCCTCTCTTCTGACTCCAGGGAAATGTTTGCTCCTTTAGCAGCTCTTCCCTTCAGCCCTCCAATTCCCTCCTCCTCCAGCTGCACGAACTCTTGCTGGAGGAGCGTGTGTGACGTGCCATAAAAACCCCGTCCTGTGCCATCAAATACGCACGATTTTGAAAGCTCCGGCCTGCGGGCAGCAGGCGCTTTAAGGCACCCCGTATGGAAGTGCCTCGTCTGGGTTGCATTGCCGCTTCAGTCCCGTGTCTGTGTTGTGCAGGTTTCATGTGGACAAGCTGTCGTCGGCACACGTCTACCTCCGGCTGCACAAGGTACCTGTCGCGCTCCGCTTGCTGCGTGCTGCCTTCCCTGCCTTCCCGCGGATGCGGGGCGGTTGTGCCACTGTGGGGCTTCAGCCATCCCTTGGCGCTGCCGCTGGTGGGCTGTGGGCGAGGGTGCCGGCTGGGATCTCGCTGCTGGAAGTTGTTAGCAGCAGAGGAAGGAAGGAGTGGCTGATCTCGGTGAGGGGAAGGGCCGGGCAGAGGCATCAGGCCTCCCATCGTTCGGGGGCCAGGAGTGGGATGGAATGCCCGAGAAAGGGATGCCGTAGTGGATAAGCGGAAGTTACAGGAGCTCCGGGGGAAAGTGACCACGACATCCCTGAGTTCTTGATTTTCAAGGAAGCAAAAGGGGGGAAAGGAGCGTCGCCACACAGCTGCTCTGGATTTTGGGAAAGGTGATTTTGATAACTCGGGGCAGTGATAAATAAGGTCCCAAGGTAAGTGTCTCTGAGGGAAAAAGGAGTCCGAGATGAGTGGGAGTTTTTCGAAGAGGAAAATTTTAAAGGCACAATTGCAAAATTCCGACAAGAACAAAGGATAGCAGGCAACAGAAGAAACCAGAGTGGCTCCACAAAAATCTTGAAGTTGAGCTAAAACCGAAAAAGGGCATGTGCATGAGGTGGAAGGAAGAATGCGTGGCAAACAGAGAAGTGCGGGCAGGTGGCACAGAAGGGCAGGAGCCACACCAGGGAGCTGGGGATGAGCGGGGGCTGCGAAGGGATGCCAAAACCAAACGGGCCTTTTCAGGAATGTTCCCAGCAAACGGCAGAGAAAAGAAATGGCGGTTCAGCTTCTTAGTGAGGGGAACACATTGGGAATGACGCCGAAGAAAACAGCTGAAGTGCTCAGATTCTACTTTGGCTCAGTCTTTTCCCAAAAGAGCTCTGCGTTGAAGTTTGAGATCAGTAAACGGTGGTCCAGGAACACCTCAGGTTTTTGAATGAGTGCAAGTCTCCAGGGGCTGATGAGCTGCATCCTGGAGCGATAGAGGAGCTGGCAAAAGAACTCAAACAGCCACTGTTTATTATCTTTGAGAAAACATGGAGGATGGGTGAAGTTCCAGAGGACTGGAGGATCCTGTCTTCAAAAAATATCCTGAGAACAACGGACCAGTTAGTCCGACATCAATCCCTGGGAAAATTCTGGAGCCAATAATAAAGAAGTCAGTCTGTAAGCAACTTGAGGACAATGGAATAATTATTAGAACCCAGCACAGATTTATCAAGCAAAAGTCTTGCCAGACTAATCTGATTTCTGCTGTGACGTAGCAGCAAAAATATCTTAATGCTGTACTGAGCCGTATTGATAGAAGTACAGCTTCCAAGCCATGTGAGGTGCCGGCTCCCCTCTGTCTGGCACTGGTTGGGCCCCATCTGGAGTCCTGTGTGCAGTTCTGGGCATCGCACTGCAAGAAAGATGCAGGCAAACTGGAAAAGATTCAGAGGAGGGCAGCAAAGATGACCAGGGGATTGGAAGCAAAGCCCTGTGTGGAGAGATGGAAAGAGCTGGGCCTGTTCGACCTCAAGAAGGGAAGAGTGAGGTGAGAGAGGAGAGCGCTCGATTCGTCCTTGAAAGGCCGTCGCATGGAGGGGGGCAGAATCTCTTCTCAGTCATCCCAGAGTGCAGGGTGCCAGATTCTGGCTGGACATCAGGAAAAGCTTCCTGACTGTTAGAGCAGTGTGACAGTGGAGCTGATGAACAGGGAGGGTTGTGGGCTCTCCCACTCTGGAGGCGTTCGAGAGGCGGTAGGACGGCCGTCTGTCAGAGATGCTTTAAACTGCGGTCCTTTGTCGATCAGGGAGTTGGACCTGGTGGCCTTCTTGGCTCCTTCCTACTATTCTGTGATTCTGAGAAAGAGGCGGCTGGCCACACGGAGCACAAAAGCAGTGTGTAGACGTGAAAAATAAGTAGAAGTGTAGGAACACAGGAAGAGCTGCCTTGGGCAGGGCCCACCCCGGGTCCGCCTGGTCCTGTATTGCCCACGCGGGTGAGTCGCAGGAGCTTCCCCGACTTCCGGGCAAGCATTTTCCTGCATTGCTTGGCAGTGCTGGGCTTGAACCCGCGACTTCCAGCTTGCAACGCCGGGGCTCAGCCGCTCAGGAAGAGCCTTGCAGTGCTTCAGAGGGGAGGACAAGACAGTGGAAAGATTCCTCCGGTTGGCGCTTCCTCTGCAACATCAATTGTGCAACGTCTCCCCGATTGTGGCAGAAGCCTGCGTGGAGACCAGGTTCCACCAGAAGGCCCATGGGGGCGGGCAGGGCTTCTGCGCTCTGCGGGGTTGCAGCTGCCCGGGTGCAGTGCAGCACGTGCGCCAGACACCTCGGCTTTACGTGCTGGCGCTGGAGCCTCCAAGGCTGTCCGGTTTCCCCTGCGAAGATGCAGGACGGTGGGATTCTTCCCTCGGAGCCACGCAGAGGGGCTTCCTGGGAAGGCTCTGCAAATGCGAGGCGTTTTAAGAAGCATTAAGATGGAGTTCTTGTTTTATACAAAAACAGCAAAGAGCCTTGCGGCAGTTTAAAAATGCGCGTTTGGCCTGGCCCAAGTTTTGCTGGAGACGCATCGGGGGGGGGGGCACCTGCCCCTGGAGCATGTGCTGCATTAAGTGCACTTGAGGCTCCGTTGCTCCCGCTGCAGAGTCCGGTCCAGCTGATCTCCGGGAGCCGCTCGGCGCAGGTGTGCCGCCTCCGCCTTCCCCCGGTCAAGTGCTTGGCCCCATTTCTCCACACGGGCCGCTCACATCCCTCTTGCTTCCTTCCAGGGGCAGGCGATCGACGACGTCCCCAAGGAGGTCTTGATAGACTGCGCGCACCTGGTGAAGGCCAACAGCATCCAAGGTGAGGGCTGCGTGCACCTGTTTTGCACCGGCCGGTCAGGCGGGTCCCGGGGGAGCGCCTGCCACATGGGGCGCTGATCGGAGGTGTGCCGGTGTAAAGGGGCGCTGGGCCAGCGGGGCTCTTGGGGAGATGCACTAGCGCTGCACGCCCGGCCCCCGACTCCTCGGTCCGGCCCTTCCTCAGCGGAGGGCTTGCCTCTCGTGCCCTGTGTGGCTGAGGCCTGCCAGGCACGGCAGCGGCCGTGGAATGGGCGGGGGAGCCGGGCAGCCACAGACGGGAGTCAGTTTGCCCGCGGAAGGGGGGTGCGGGCAGGGGCTTGGGGCGGCATTTGGGTCACTTGGGGGGAGGAAGCCCCACTGCTGCAGCGAGGTCGCCCGGAGGTCACCCCGAAGGCGTCCTGGGGAGCAGTCTGGTCGGGCTGGGCAGGACAGCGGATTGAGAGTGGAAGTGGACCTGGGGGGGCGGGGGCTGAGGTCAAACCCGGCTCTGGCGTAGGATCCAGCCGCTGACTCCGGGCAGCCGCTGCCTCTCAGCCTCATAATGAGGACGGAAAGGGGCTGCACGTGGCACCTGGGCTCTGTGGAGGGAGGTGTGTGGAGCCCCGGTGAGCCCTTGTCCGCCCTCAGAAAATGACCGCTGGAATTCCTCCCGAGTCCTTTGTGGTGGTGATAAAGCACCACTGAGTTCCGTGGAAAGAGTGGCACCTGCGGGGACTGTTCCAGGCAGCCGGTCTCTACTGCTCCTGCCCCCTCCACTCCCTAGAACACGCGTGCCGTTGCTTGCGCTGCCCAAGTGTTTGTTTTAATGTTAAACGAAACCCTTTCGGGCAGGGGTCTCGCGCCCGCGGGCCAAGGGCCGGGAGGGGCGGGGCACGGGGGAGGGACCCTGTGGCCTTCCAAGCGCCGGCCGTGGGACGAGCGGCCCACCCCCACCGCGGGGGTGGAATGCTCGATGCGGCCCGGCCTCACCCAGACTCTACTTCCCGCGGCCCCCGGGTAGGTTGAGTCTGAGACCCCTGCTTTAGGGGATGCATTGCCTAGGAAGTGGGAAAGAGATGGGGCTGCGGGGTGGTGGGGGGGAGCACCTACTTCAAAACCTCAGTGGTCCAATCAGGAGGCGGCAGCTGACGTCTACAGAGAACAGTTCAGGAATGAGGGGGACTTCCTCGTGGGGGCTTCTGGGAGGCATGGCGAGCGTGGAGGGGCAGAAAGCGAGGGAGGGTGGTGCCAGTGGAGGTCCCGTCCTTTCCCCTGATCGGGGTCGGGAGAGAAGCTGGGATTGCCCTGCCCCCTTGTGGTGGGCCTCGCGGAAGCCCTCCCCACGGAGGCGGCCTTTTCCTTCCTGCCTGGCGGAGGCCCTTTGTGCCTGGCGCTCGCCCGCGGAGAGGAGCCGCTCGGCGTGGGTTTGTTGGCGGAGGGGCCCTTGGTGGCGGCTCTTCTGGCAGAGGGGTTGTGGACAGCTGTGGTGGCCGTGCCGTCGCATGGGGGCTGGAGCTTTGGGGCAGCTCCCCACCGTGCCTGCCGGGCCACCCGGTCCCAGAGTAGGAGCAGTCGGGGCTGGGGATGCCGGCCAGCGTCCAGCCCTGGGTGAAGGGCCTGGCTCTCTTCCTCAGGCTGCAAGATGAACCATGTCAACGTGGTGTACACCTCCTGGAGCAACCTGAAGAAAACGGCGGACATGGACGTGGGGCAGATTGGGTTTCACCAGCAGAAGGACGTGAGTGCCCTCCCCCTTCCCGACGCCCCAGGACGCTGGCGGGAGGCTTTGCACGGGCCCCACGCCGTGGCGGGGCGGGAGAGCGGCACGGGCACCTGTGGCCTTTCCCCGGCTCCGCCGCAGCGTCCCTCGGCCCAGGCACAGCTGCCCGAGCATCACTGGCCCCGCGGCGGCTTCGCGCTCACCGTCCTCACCTGTGGACGCTGCCTCTGGGGCCCTCGTGGGCCACACTGCGGGGCTGGTGGGCAGTGGTGGCTGCAGGGACCGCCCCACGCCCCTTCCCTCTGCCCGCTCCCGGCGTGGCTGTGCTGCCCCAGGGCCCGCCACCCACGGGGTGTCGGCGAGGCGCTCGGGCCGGTTCATGCAGCCGTGGCTGTAGTGCGGCCGGGCCCCTCTCGGCTAGCAAAACCAGGCAGGCGGGACAGACCGCCGGGCCGGGAGTGCTTGGCGCACGTGTGGTCTGTGGCGCGTGGCCGTGAGGAGGCGAGGGGGGCCACGAGCCGGCGGAAGAGCGGCGGATCCCGGTACTGGAAGGCAGGCCAAGGAAGGCGTGCAGTTGGGGGTGCGAGGCTCGAGGCGAGCCGAAGGAGGAATAGGTGGAAGGTGGGAAGTGCCGCAGCTGCGGGGGCAAGCCGCGGTTTCCGTCCTGGGTTGGCAGCACCTGGGCTTCTGCTGGGCAGCTTCCCGGCCTTCGCTCCGCCCTGCACAGCAGGCCGGGAGTGCTGGCCCCCGCAGGGCCAGCCCCTTGGTGGCCGGGGGTCCCCGCGGGTTTGCCCCCCAGGAGGCCTGGCTTCTGCCCGGTGCCGTCCCCGGTGAGAGCCGGTCCCGTGTGGCTTGCTGGAACGCCTCTCCTTCGGCTGCCCCTGTGATCGGGGTCACGGGCCTTTCCCGCCCCCAGGTCAAGATGCTGACAGTGGAGAAGAAAGTGAACGAGATCCTGAACCGGCTGGAGAAGACCAAAGTGGAGCGCTTCCCAGACCTGGCTGCGGAGAAGGAGGCCCGGGACCGCGAGGAGCGGAATGAGAAGAAGGCCCAGATCCAGGAGATGAAGCGGAAGGAGAAGGAGGAGATGAGGAAGAAGAAGGAGCTGGAAGAGCTGAGGTGGGAGGGGCCGCGGGGGGCCGCCCCCACCCCTGTGGCTGCAAGGAGCGTCTCCGGGCTCAGCGAAGCCTGGTGGCGGCAGCTGTTTTGTTACAGTGTGAGGTGGAGCTGGAGTGACAGGCTCCGGCTGGTCTTGCCTGCCAGGCTGCTGGCTCTCCAGGGGCCCCAAGCAGAGCCCCGGAACAATGGGGGCTTTGTGCCAGGGCTGGCGCTCCACCTCCGCAGCCGAGGGCGTTTTGCCCCAGGACATGCCCTCATCCACGACGTGGTCCCCTGGCCTCGGGACCCCGGGGAGGCAGCTGCTTTCCGGGAGCCGGGGGCCCCGTCGCAGCTGCGGTCACCGGGGACCCGAGCAGAGTCCCCCACCCACCGCCTGCCTGCCTGTCCCGGCCAGGGCCGCACGAGCCGCTGCCGGTGGCTCTTTGGCAGGGAGGCGGGCCCGTGTCCAGTGCCCCCCTGCCAAGCAGGCTGTTGCCCCATGGCTCCCTGCTCTGGAGACCCCCGTATTTGCCGGTGAAGGCTTTTGGGGGCCGCTGCTGGGGTGGGGGCCAAAGGGGCACCTTCATGCCCCCCGAGTGCACTCGGGGGTCCTGTGAGGCCTTGACGCAGCCGCCGTGGGGCCAGCGTCGTCCTCCCTCCTGTGGGACAGCTGTGGGGATCGTGAGGGGAGCGGCTGCTCCGCCGGCAGCACCCGTGCCGCTGCTCACAGCCGAGTGCCACGCTGCCGGTTGTTCCAAACCTTTCCTTTTAACGTGCTGGGTTGACTCCTCCGCCGAACCTCGGGGCCGTTTCGGAGGGGCAGAGGAGGGGCTTGCGCATTCGGGGCCCTCGCAAAAGCCTGTCCTGTCCGGTCCGCGTGGGGGGTGGCCGGCTGCCCACAGGGTCCCGCCAGCAGGCCCGGTGGCCCAGCCCGCTCCTGCCCGGGTTCCCCGGCCACGGGCGGACGGATGCTGGAGGCAACAGGGAGCCACCGGGACTGGCAGGCCTCTGAGAAGTTGCCCCAGTGCCTCCCAGGGCCACCCAGACGGGGTCGTTCCGGCGTCTCGTTGAAGCAAGTGTTGCGATCGCGCCCCCCCGCTTTCTTGGCGCGGGGCATGATCTTGCCTCCCCTTGCTCCAAGTGTAGCCCCCTGGGTGTGGGCCCCCTTCCCCGTGGGCGAGTCGCTCCAGCCCCTCCACCGTGGGAGTCGGCCTCTTCAGCGCTCCCACCCTCGGGACCCTGATCGTGTCCTGGCGCCACTGGGATCCGCCCCTTTCCCTTCCCTTCCCTTTCCCCCAGGACTTGTTGGTTCCAAGCGCTGCAGGTCCGTCCTGCTCCGTGGCCGGATGCTCCACGGCCGGCACACCCGCTGGCCAGCCCTCCACGCCGCGTGGCTCCTCGGTTCATGCAGAGCCACCAGGAAAGCTGGTCCTGCGGTGGGGAAGGAGATGGCTGGTCAGCTCACGGCCGCTTCGGCCCACGCGCCCTGCTGGTGGCGTGCCGAGGGGGCCGAGGGCACACGGGGCCCAGAGTGCCTTCGGGACGGCCTGGCCTGCTGTGGTCCCCCAAAGGCGACCTTCCAGCGCTCGCCCAGAGGACTCTCAGCAGCTGGCCCCAGACCGTGGGACGGCCTGCGGGGCAAAACACGCCGGAGATCCCAGGTGGTTCCCTTCAAGAGGGAGTTACTGACATGTTGCTTCCTTGGTCAGTTTCCAGACTAGTTTTGTTTAATGTGTGTGGTTTTTGTTGAAATTTTAGCAGTTGCTGGTTTTAACCTTCTGTCACCCCTCCTCTTTTTTTTGCAGAAGTTACTCTTCTTTGATGAAGGCAGAGAACATGTCCTCCAACCAGGTATGTCCAGGCTGCGGCAGCAAGCAGAGGGCAGCGAGGGGGTGCGGGCGGCGTTTGTGGTCGCTGGCAAGCTCCCCTCGAGCCAGCCAGCCAGCCTCAGAGCGGATCGTGCACCCCGGGGCCTTTGCCAGGTGCGCTGCCTTGGCGGGGGGACCGCCGGGCCTGGCCAGTGCCGCTCGGATGTGGCCACCTGCCCCGTGGCCTCCTCGCCTGCGGCCGGCGAGCAGGGCCTTGGAGCCAGCCCAGGTTAAGGCATGCCGCGCGACCCTCGTGTCACGAGGGAAGCGCAGCCGAGCAGGAGTGGGGCAGGCTGGCCGGCCGGCCCGTCGGAAGAGGCGTCTTCCCTGGATCGGCTGGGCTGGAAGGAGCTGGCAGTGGTCCAGGCTGGCCCTGCCTGAGCAGGCCCCCTGCCGCCTCAGCGCTCGGCCTCGCCCACAGGCCGGAGGGTGGCAGCTGAGGACACTGCTTGGAGAGCCGGCCGAGCAGGTGGCATCGGGGCCGAGCCGGAGGAAACGGCCGGTCTCCTGGATTGGGTCTCGGGGTGAAGCCCCTTCCCCGTACCGAGGGTGCTTGTTGGGGAGGGGGACTCTCAGGCTCCCTGCGGCCTGCGGCTGCTGAAGGGGGCGAGGAGACGCCCCCGGGGCAGGCTGGCTCATCCGAAAGCTGTGTGGCGTCCAGGAAGGGGCTGGCAGCCCGCGAGGAGGGTCCCCCGGATGGGCTGTTCCACGGGGCCGGGCAGTTCTCAACATCAGGCCGGGCCGCCCTGCTCTGCTCTGCTCCGGAGGAGGGCCCAGCCCCACTGCAGCCGCCCCATCCCTGCGCCTGGGTGGGGGGGCGGCCTGTTTCTTCTGAGGGGCAGGACAGGAGGGCTTGGGGGCCTCAGTGGGATTGGAGGGCCCCTCTCGCGTGCAAGGTGGCGGCCCCTGGCTCCTGTTCAGCTCTGGTGCCCCCCATTCCTGGGGAAGCCAAGGCGGGTGATCGGTAGACGGGGAGCAGGGGAACGGCGTTCTGGGGAAAGCCCCCGGTGCCCTGCGCCCTGCCCGATCGGATGGCGCTGCAGGTGCTCCCTGGCAAGCCTCTTCGGTCTCTCCTCCCTCAGGATGGCAATGACTCGGACGACTTCATGTGAGCCCCGGCACCCGGAAGACGAAGGTGGACGGGGACGTCCGGCCCCTTTGCCGCTGATGCCCACGAACGAGCTGCCGGACTCGGGTGTCTCTGGACTCGTTTCCCTGTGGGCAGCGGCCCTGCGGGGAGCCACCTCCCTTTCTCTGGCCGGAGCAGCCCTGCGGGCTGGGGGGCCGCCGTTTCCAGCTCGGGTGTCTTGCTGGGGCAGGTGGGGTGGAGGCCGCTTCGGAACGGGCTGGTGCCGGAGAAGCTCAGGCTCCGCCTGGCGCCTCCCAGAGCAGGGCCGGCCCCGCTTGGCTGGCTGGCCGGCCGTGCTGCCGGAGCCGCTGCCGGCTGAGGACGCGCTCGTCTGGCCGTGCGGGGGCGCCGCTTGTCCTTTGCTGACTGGCGGCCCCCGCGTGGAGAGGCGGCCTCTCGGACGCTGCGGGACTTTGAGCTTTGCGCGCTGCATTTCCGTGCTGTGGATGCTGGCCTGGAGCCGGGGAGCATCGCCCTGGGCGGGCCGTGCAGCGGTGGAGACTTCCGCCTGCCCGCCCGCCCCACGCCCTGCCCGCCCGCCTCGCCGTTCCAATAAAGGAGTGTGAGCTTGGATCGGAGCCCGGTGCCTCTCGGCTCTTCCTGCACGTGGCGTGGGGCAGTCCGGCCTCCCCCCGCGTGCCGTGCGGCTGCAGGGTCAGCCGTGGGGCCGGATCGGGAGCTGATCAGTGCTGCGGACAAGCCCTGCTCGGAAGCCACCCCCTCCCCTGTCCCCTCCCCTCCCCTTCCCTTGGAAGAGCGGCAGGTGTGCCCAGCACGCTCTGGCTTGCCAGTTGAGCCCGATCGCGGTTTCCTCACTGGAGCCCTCTGCCCAGGCCCCTTCAGCTCCGGGGGCACTGAGCATCCTTTGGGGGTGTGGAAGGCACCCCAGGGGCTGCCTGAGGGTCGACCACGGGGAGGATCTGCGGGGGGGCGGTCTCCCACGAGTCCCTGCAGTGCCTCCTCTTGCTCTGGGGTGTCCCTGTGTGGGGGAGAGCAGGCAGCAAGGTCCCCAAGCAGCCTGTGGAGCAGCCGGGAAACCCGTTGGCTTGCTGCCGGCGCCTGCAGCAGAGGACGGCTCCGGATTCCCTCCTGCCGCCTCGGAGCCAGGCCTGCTCTCCAGGCCCTCGCCTGACAGAGGAGGCGCCTCCCACGTGGGCCGGGAAGCGGACCCTGGAGCTGCCCCTGCTGCGCCCGGGCACTCGGGCAAGGCGGAAGGGCCCTCCCCGTGCCTCCAGGCCAGGCCTCAGCATGGCCGAAGCCCCACCGGTGGCTGGACGTGCGCCTGGCGGGCGTGTCATGAGTGGAGCCGGCTGGGGCCAGGGTCAGACTAGATGGCCTGGGAGGCCCCTTCCGACTCGCTCTGCTTCGGTGGCTCCATGTCTGCTCAGGGAAATGGCCGAAAGGGGCGCCAGCTTCTGTGGGCAAGCAGAAGCCAAACGGCCTCTCCGTCTTGACAGAATTCTTGGTGGGCAGAACAATGGGCCATGTGCCGGGGAAGAGACCCCGATTGTGTTGCCGGGGTTATTTTTGTGTAAATCGCCAGAACAAGTAGCGCGGCTCCCTCCGTGGGAAGCACCCCCCCTCTGTTCATTGCACGCCAGTTTTCTCTTCCATACCGGAAAGATGCTGGGATAATTTTAGTAGCTGACTTTGTCCTGGCAGTCCTCCTGAGCAAATGTAGGCAGTCTGTTTCTTGCAACGTGTCTGCGCGAGGCTTGGCCTGGTAGGGCAGGAGCCCGCAGCGCCTGTGACCTGAAGGGGTGCCAGCGATGGGCCAGGTGTCCCCTCTCCTCCCTGCCCACCCCCTGCCACGCATGGGGTGAACAGCAAGGGCTGTGCCTGAGGGTAGCATCCCGAGGATCAGTGGGGAGCCCTGCAGGGCCTCCTTAAACCTCTGGAAGTTGCCCGGAAGCCGGGCTTGGGCTCGGTGTGGGACGGGCCACCCTTCACCTTGCGGGAAGGTGAACGGCGCTCCAGGACCGGCATGTCACCTGCCACCGAGCAGCCCAGGGCTGCTCCTCGCCTGCCTGCCTGCCTGCCTGCCTGCCTGCCTGCTCCGTGCTCCTGGCACCTGCCTCCTCGGGCAGCCCCAGAGCCCTCGGGGAAGCGGCATGTGAGCCTCTGCCACGCCAGGAGTGAGCGCTGAGCCCCGCCTGGGCCCGCCTCCTCGGTCCTTCCCTTTCAGGGACACGGGGGGCTCCTGCTGGCGTGGAGCCGGCCAGCCAGACCTGGGCAAGCCCCAGCCGGGCGGCTTGTCTCCCAGCAGCTCGCCACGGGCAGCGGCGCTCCCTCCGCCCCGGAGCCCCCTCCCCGCCGCGGCACATTCCCCGGCTGGGGAGAGGCGGCAGGTGGGGCACCGCAGGGACTCCTGGGGCCGGTGCTCTTCAGCCTTTTACATTTGCCGGCGGCACAAAGCTGGGGTGGAGCAGCAAGCACCCTGGAAGGCAGAGGCGAGTGCCAGGGCGATCGCGACGGGTGGGAAGCTGGGCCGGGGACAGCGGCGTGGACTTCACGGGGGCGGCCGGCACGTCCTCCCCCAGCGAGTAGGGAGCCAAACGCCCGGTGCAGAACGCGGACGCTTGGCTTAACAGCACCGCACAGGAGGGTGTTTGGATGCAGACCACAAGCCGAGTGTGAGCCAGCGATGTGATGCGGCTGCAAAAGGGGCACATGCTGGTTTGGGCTGCGCTAACAGAAGTATCACTTCCCGAACGCGTGAGGTCCAAGTTCCCCTGCACTCGGCACTAGTCGGACCTGCCCTGGAGTTCCGCGTCCGGTTCTGGGCACCAAGATTTAAGAAAGATGCAGGTAAATTAGAGAAGGCCCAGAGGAGGGCCACAAAAATGATCCGGGGTTTGGAAACGCTGCCCTGCGAGGAGGGGCTGAGGGAACTGGGCATGTCCAGCCTCAAGAAGGGGAGGCTGAGGGGAGGCAGGGTAGCCCTCTGCAAGTACCTCGAGGGCAAGAACTCTTCTCGCTCATTGCAGAATGCAGGACAGGGAATAATGGACTCAGGTTAAAAGGAACCAGATTTAGACTGGACACCAGGAGGAGCGTCCTGACTGTCAGCAGCATGACGGAGGAACCTCCTACCTGGGAAGTTGCGGGCTCTCCCTCTCTGGAGATGTCCAGAAAGCGTTTGGACAGCCACCTGAGGGGGAGGGTGCTGCGTGGTGTCCTGCAACAGCAGGGGGGTGGACCTACCTGGTGGCCTGGCGCCTTCCAGCTCGACGCTTGATGGATTCCATGAAGGCACGTCTGCCCTCCGGTCGCTTGTGCAGTGCCTGGGATGGAGCTTCACAGGCCCCTTTTGCCCTTTTACCCCCCTCGCATGGCGCCTGCTTCGGAGCCGGGTCACCTGGGCCCTTGGGAGGCCAGCGGAGGGAGCGCCTGGCCCGCTCGCGGCATGCGCCGCTGTGGGAGGCTGGCCCAGCGCGAGCGTGGCCGCCTTTCCTCCGCCCTCCTCCCCCGGGCAGAGCGGTCCAGGCGTGAACGGGGCTGCCCGAGGCCGGCTGGCCACGCGCGTTCTGCGCTCCCACCCGCTGGCGGAGGTCCTCTGAAGAGCGGGCTCCGCAGCTGGCGCATGTGTGACTGGGAGCCCTGTGCCGGCCCTTCCGGCCCCCTCCAGCGCTGCTCGGGCTCCCACGCCTCGGCCGCGTTTTCGGGTGGAGGCCTTGGCAATGCGGGGGCGGCAGGGACGCCCGAGGGCCCCGGGAGGCCTCGTCCGGTGGCGGGGCCGGGCGGTGCGCACGAGAGGCGGTGCCGTGCTGTGGCTGTCCTGCATCGGCCTGCGTTCGGTCCTGCTTCAGCCGCTAGCGATCACCGTTCTGGGCTCTGCCCTGCGACGGAGTTGCTCGGTTGGTCTCTTCGTTCTCGTGGACTGTGGGCCTGAGATCTTGGTCGTCCCATCGAAAGGCTCCTCGTTTGCTGGAGTGTCTCTGAGGGTTCGGCGATCGATCGATACGCACCTTCGGGCCTCCAGGCTGGAGCTTGTGCAGGAGACGCACGAAGCCCCTGAGGCAATGTCTCCCCGCCCTGCCCCGCTCTCTGCCCCAGCCAGCCTTTGTGGTTGCTCTCGCTCACAAGCGAGCTCTGTGCGCCTTAACGTGTATGCGGCGCCCTCCCCTGCACGCTTCACGCAAGGCAGCGCTAAGCTCAGAGCTGGCGCTTTGATATCATAGTGGTTTGCATTTCCATTGGGCCCACAGCGGTGCTTCCAGTCCGTCCCACCTGCCTTCCCGCCCTGGTCACAACCTGCAAGAGGACAGGAACTGGCTGTGCACAGGCCAAATTTTTGCCATTGGGCCATTTCTGCACCCACCACGTGCCCCCCCCCCCAGATGCCACAAACACCTTTTGTTCTGTGCTAGCTAAGCCAGTGAGGACTGCCACCCAACCAGGGCTGTGGCCACTGCGGCCCTTCCCAGGGCGTTTCTGCCACAAACCTTAATACCCTTAATACAGTGGCCACCCGGGTCACTCCAGCTGTGCTGCAGAAAGAGAAACAGCGAGTCAGAGGGGTCCTCCCGGGTCATTTAGTCTGACCCCTGGCTCCAGCTGGCTCCGCTCATGACGTGCCCACCATGGGGAGCACCAGCCTTTGGAAGTGCACGTGAGCTGGCATGTCTCTGGCAGAGCTGCTCAGCTCAAGAGGACATGTCGCCTCGCCCTCCCAAGGTGTGGGAGCTGAGCAGCCACAGGTACACGGGCCTGCAGGGACGCAGAAGCGCCTGCCCACCTGGAGCATCTTGGCAGTCACCTGTGCAGCCCTGAAACCGGCACGTGCACTCCGCCATCGGTCCCGTGTACATCTTGTGTGCACCAAGCACCGTCAGGGCGGCAGCGATGGAACCGGCTGGGGACATGCTTGGGCTGCCCCACAAGGCATGTGCCCTTAGGGCGCACCTGTGCTCAGGTGGGGGGAAGCACGGGGGTCCAGTCCCTCACCAGCGCCATCAAAGCTTCCCTGAACAGAAGCCTGCAGAGCTGCCGGCATGGAACACCCATGGGTGACCGCACCATTGGCCCCCTGAAGACCCTCGGCTGCAGCCAGGGTGGGCACTCCCTGAGGGGGCTGTCGTCCGCAGCCTTTGGCGGGCTGCAGGTTGCCCACTTCAGAGTTCCGGGCAAGTGAGGTCCAGGGTCTGCTCCCACGGAGACCCTGATTTGAAGCTTGTGGGGGAGCACAAGCAACTGACGCCGCACCCGGACTCGTACGCAGCACACAAGCATGGCGGGGGAAGGTCAGGTGCCTGCGTGAGCTGAACGACGTCCGAGCTGCCTTGCTGGAGGAGCTGGTGTCCTTTTCATTCCCCCAGTGGCAGCATGACAGCCGGAGCTGGGGTGCTGGTGGGGGCGGGCAAATTTAGCTGGATCCGGAACCCCTCCCAGCAGAAGCGAGGGAGAGTGGCAAGGCACTCCAGCCACGGACACGGCTGGCCGTGGACCTCTCCGGTGCTCCTTGCGGAATGATCCGCATCCCAGCAGGGCGGATGCCGGGGGGGGGGCAGGGGGCTGCTTGCCGCTGCATGGCTCCTTCCTTGCTGCCTTTCAAGCTGGCCAGCTGCGGACTTCCCAG